CTCTTCAACCAAATAAGAGACGGGATGATGCCATACCAAAAATCAGGGGTGAGACTATCCCATCCTTATACTATCTCCAAACGAAACACAAGCTCACTTCTGTTATGTGGGGGCGCACATATCAGCGCCGTAGGCGCTCTCAGATAGAAGAAAGGAAAGAACAGAAAAGGATATTAGATTAGGATTCGGTATGCGCCTGGAGCAAGATGACAGCACACCACCATGGCGCCGATTTTCTGAGCTGCTCAATATGCACTTCGGGCGCCCTGCGCTCCAATCCCTTGGGCGAACTTGCAGCCTGCCACCGCACCAGCACCGTCGCCGACTACCAGCATCGGTTTTTGGCGTTGCTCACCCGCACCGGACCCCTCAACGACAGTCAGAAGATTTAGCTCTTTAGGAAGGGCCTTCTAGAGCCCATGAGTATTGATGTTGAGATGAAGGGCCCCCTGTCCCTAGAGGTCGCCATGAGCCTGGCCCGTGCGTTCGAGCGCTGTGAACAGGTTGTGGCCCAGCTGGCGGCTCCGCCCCGCGCCCAACGCCCACCACCGACGCGCGACTTACTTGCCTTGCCAGCTCCTGCGTCCGTTGTTCTACCCGCCCTGCCAGCACCCGCGACTGCACCCGGCCCCGCGCTCTGCACCGTCACCGTGGCAGGCCACACAGTCCGTCGCCTCTCGCCGGCCAAAATTGAGGAACGCCGTAAGAACGGCTAGTGCTTCAATTGTGACGAGCACTACATCCACGGGCACAATCGAGTCTGCCGACGGCTGTTTCTCCTGGAGATTGATGATGCCGACTCAAGCCCCGAAGACGAAGCTGATGCTGAGACCCCCCTCATATCGCTGCACGCCATAGTAGGGATTAAAACCAACGAGACTATGCAGCTGCCAGTCTTCCTCGCCGGAACGTCGCTCCATGCCTTCCTGGATTCTGGCTCCACACACTATTTCGTGTCAGAGGCAGCGGCTGCTCGTATCGGCCTGGGCTTCTGCAAGCGCGTCGACATCAGCGTCACCGTCGTGAATGGCGATCGAGTCCGTTGTGCAGGCGTCGCACGGGCCACTGCGTTCTCCATCACCACAGAGGTGTTCGCCGCTCATTTCTATATCCTACCCCTCGACGGCTTTGACATTGTGCTTGGCACCGGTTGGCTTGCTACTTTGGGCCCTATCCTTTGGGACTTTGGCTCGTTGCTCATGTCGTTCTGGAGGAACGGCCACCGCGTTACTTGGCACGGATTGGCAGGACCGCTTGGCGCCCAGCTCCATGCCATGTCGAGCCTAGATGTCCTTCCCGCTCTTCTCGCCGAGTTCGAGGATGTGTTCACCACGCCCATGGGACTGCCACCTCCCCGCGCCTGTGATCATCACACTCACCTCATCCCGGGCACACTGCCAATTGCGGTCTGGCCATCTCGCTTATCCACAGATTCAAAAAGAAGAACTGGAGCGTCAGTGCAATGTCCTGGAAGCACAAGGATTGATCCGCCGCAGCACCTCACCTTCCTCAGCACCGGTTCTCCTTGTCAAGAAGTCAGATGGCACATGGCGGCTCTGTGAAGGACAAATTCCCTATCCCGGTGGTCGAAGAGCTTTTGGATGAGCTTCATGGCAGCCGCTTCTTCTCGAAGCTGGATCTTCGCTCAGGATATCACCAAGTCCGGATGGCGCCCACTGATATACCGAAGACAGCGTTCCGCACCCACGACGGTCTCTACGACTTTCTGGTAATGCCGTTCGGCCTTACTAACGCCCCGGCTACATTTCAGGCGATCATGAACGAGGTACTGCGCCCTTTCCTCCGCAAATTTGTGCTTGTTTTTTTCGACGACATCCTCATATTCAGCAACAATTGGACGGAACATCTGAGGCACATCAGGATAATTCTTACCGCTCTGCGTGAACATCAGCTCTTCTTGAAGCGGTCCAAGTGTTCCTTTGGGGAACCCTCTGTTGTGTACCTCGGCCATATTGTGTCAGCAGATGGGTTTGCCATGGACGCATCCAAGGTCCAGGCCATCATTGACTTGTCTACACCAGCTTCAGTACGGGCGCTGAGGGGGTTTCTGGGCCTCGCTGGGTACTATCGCTGTTTTATCAAGGAGTTCGGGTCCATAGCAGCCCCCTTGACCAAGTTGTGCAAGAAGGATGCTTTCCTCTGGACGGATGACACTACAGTGCCCTTTCAGGCTCTCAAGCAAGCCCTCACCGAGGCTCTAGTCCTTGCCTTGCCCGATTTCGCACTGCCTTTTGTGGTTGAATGTGATGCATCCAGTACCGGCATTGGCGTAGTACTTCGCCAAGGCAGCGGCGCAGTGGCGTTCTTCAGTCGTGCCTTGGCTCCGCGTCACCGTACCCTCGCTGCTTATGAGCGCGAGCTGATTGGCCTGTCTCAAGCTGTACGGCATTGGCATTCGTATCTCTGGGGACGCACCTTTGTGGTTCGCACAGACCACCAGCCGCTGAAATACATCCTCGACCAACGTCTTGAGACCATTCCGCAACTTCACTGGGTAAGCAAACTGCTTGGCTTTGATTTTTCAGTGGAATACAAGCTTGGGCACACAAATGTGGTGGCCGACGCCTTGCCCCGCTGCACCGAGGACACCGCTGCCCTCTCGGCCGTCTCGACGCCATCATTCAGCATCATCGATGAATATCGACGCCTCGCAGTAGACGATGCAGAACTCCAGCGCTTAACAGTAGAGATCCAAGCTGGCTCTAAAGGCGAACCTTGGGCTCTCATCGATGGGCTGGTCACCTTCAAGCGACTGTTGTTCGTTCCCAGTTCATTTGAGCTCATACCAGCCATCCTAGTAGCTGCTTATGATGACGGTCACGAAGGCACCCAAAAGACCCTCCATCGCCTCGTTGGGATTTTCACCTCCCCAATGCATGGGCTGCAGTACAGGCCTATGTCCGCGCCTGCATGGTGTGTCAACGCAACAAAGTCGAGACCCTACATCCTGCAGGTCTTCTTCAGCCATTGCCGGTGCCCGCTGCAATTTGGAGTGAGATCAGCTTGGACTTCATTGAAGGCCTACCCAAGGTCAGTGGCAAGACGGTCATCCTGACCGTGGTTGATCGTCTGTCCAAATATGCACATTTCATCGCCTTGGGTCATCCATATTCAGCGGTATCAGTGGCTCGTGCCTTCTTTGCGGAGATTGTTCGCCTTCATGGCGTGCCCACATCCATTGTGTCGAATCGGGATCCAGTGTTTACTTTGGCCTTTTGGCAAGGTTTGTTTCGTGCCTCTGGTTCCAAGCTTCATATGAGCACCGCCTTTCACCCGCAGACCGATGGCCTGTCCGAGGTAGTCAACAGGACCATTGCCATGTATCTTCGTTGCATGATGAGAGATCGTCCGCGTCAGTGGGTTCAATGGCTTCCCTGGGCTGAGTATATCTATAACACATCCTATCACTCGGCACTTCGGGAGACTCCATTCAAACTTGTCTATGGCCGTGACCCGCCGTCCCGCGCATCATATGATGTCGCTGATATTAGAGTGGCGGCTGTAGCCCAAACTTTGGAGGAGCGCGCTGAGTTCATCCATGACGTCTGGCGCCGTCTTGAACAAGCTCAGGCTGTGGCTAAACGTAATTATGACCGAGGCCACTGGGAGCTCCTCTGTGCAGTTGGTGATTGGGTTTGGTTGCGCATGCACCACCGTCCTGCAGCTACTGTCACTGGTCCGCAACGCGGGAAACTCCAGCCAAGGTATTTTGGTCCCTATAAGATCATTGAAGTCATTAATCAGGTGGCCTATTGCTTGGAGCTCCCTCCTGGTTCGCGTTTGCACCCAGTCTTTCATGTCGGCTTGCTGAAGAAATTTGTCGGCGACCCTCCTGCTACACCTCCAAGTCTACCCCCTATTCATCACGGGGCAGTGGTTCCAGTTCCCGAACGTGCTCTGAAGGCTCGGCTTTGCCGTGGTGTTTGCCAGATACTTGTTCGGTGGCAAGGATTGCCAGCCTCATCCACTTCCTGGGAGGATGTTCCACAATTCCAGCAGCGTTATCCTCATTTCCTGCTCGCGGACGAGCTGTTGCTCGAGGGGGGGGAGTGATGTTACGTGGGGGCGCACATATCAGCGCCGTAGGCGCCCTCAGATAGAAGAAAGGAAAGATTAGAAAAGGATATTAGAGTAGGATTCGGTTTACTATGTAATAGGAGATACTTCCTTATTTTAAGTAATGATATATGGGAAAGTACTAGCCCATGTAATTGGAAACTATATGGCTGGCGCGTAATATATAAAGGGCCACCATATCTATTAATAAAGGCAAGCAATAGAATTATCCTCTTCCCAAGTCTCTCAAGCTGTTCACAGTACTTCTGTTTTCCAGTATATTAGGAATTGCTTATCAAAAAGTATTGTATTATTCAAGAGCCTACTAATATACAACAAATATTTCCGTTCTTTAAAACTGATACTAATTATTTGAAACATATTGATTGATAGGGACAAGGCTCAACTATCTGCTTATATGATCTTTTTTTCCCCCCAAAGCTTTAATAGTCATACTTTCATATTGAAAGTGGATAATAGGGCACATGGAACAACAACTCTCCGGCATGTTGACAAAAAAAGCAATATGTTGCACTATTTTTTTAAGATGCTGTTTCTGGAATACAAGAAAAAACCCTGCTTTGTAGCTTAGTTTGTGGTTGTGAGAATAGAAATTATGCAGACTTGTTAAACACTACTTCCTCTAGCAAAAAATACACTTAATTTTATGTTTCATGCTCATCACAGTTGAACCTCCAATACACTAATTATTACTTATAACCTCCAATACACTAATTATTACTTATATTGACACCACAATACTTATATTTATTGAAGTACCATGAAATTTTTATTTGGATTATACATTTTCATAAATTGTTAGTTGAAATGTTCACCTTGAAAATGTTCTTTGGTGGCTTGAAAAACTAACAGAGATTTGGCTTCCCCAGAAAGGATGTCACAAACCTGTCTCCAAATTGAAAATGCATAATAACAAGATAGAGGTGAGAGATTTGCCAAAGGATATCACAGGTCCAAACCAGAATATTAATCTGATGTCAAGCCCTAGTTTTAGCGAGGTGGAATTTTTTGATGCACGAGAAACATCGTCAGATGTAGTAGAAGAACTCATTGTGGGGAGGACAGAAGAAAAGGAGAAAATAATGACTTCTTTACTTCTGGTCATGTCGGAAAACCTTGTCATCCTTCCTATACATGGCATTGGAGGCATTGGCAAGACAACTTTTGCAAGATTGATTTACAATGATACAAAGTTCAGATATTATTCACATGTGTGGGTTAATGTGTCCCAGAGATTTGACTTGAACAAGATTGGTGAGTCTATTATTTCACAACTATGTGAAAAAGAGAGCCAGGCTAATGAAAGACAAATGACACATAGTTGCCTCATGAAGCTACTTTCTGGTAAGAAGATTATTATTGTTTTAGATGACTTATGGGAGGATAATCACTTCCAGCTGCAGGAATTGAAGGATGCGCTATATCATGATGAAAGCAACATAATTATTTTAGTAACAACACGTAGTGACCGTGTTGCACTGAGAATCTGTAGTAATCTTCAACCATACAAGATATTACCCCTGACAAATGACATGTGCTGGGATATAATTAAACAAAGAAGTGGTTTTGAAACTAGAGATGACAAAGAACAATTGACATCTATAGGTCAGGAGATTGCTCGGAAGTGTGGTGGTGTACCTTTAGCAGCTCGATCTCTGGGATTCACTTTGCGGAATGTGAATTTTGACCAATGGATGAAAGTGAAAGATAATGAAATCTGGAATGAATCTGTTTTAGGGGATGCATCTTTGCCGAATCAAGTTCTTGCCTCTTTGATGTTAAGCTATAGCTATATGGCACCATGTTTGAAGATATGCTTTACCTATTGTGCAATTTTTCCAAAAGGTCACAAGATAGTTAAAGAAGACCTAATTTACCAATGGATTTCTTTGGGTTTCATCAAGACAACACAGTTACTCTCAATTTTGCAGATCTGTGAGAAATATGTCATGCAGCTCCTAGGTCTGTCTTTCATTCAATTATACCCCAAGGTTTGTTGTTATTTATATATTCCAATGCTTCATTGGATTTTTCATGCTTCTCCTTAAATCAATTTAAAAGAAACTTACATATTAAATGCAACTTTTGATATGCCATGCTAATAGTATAGACGGTACATTGGACCGGAACAAAGACATTGTGTCACAATTTACTAGTAGTTCAGATTGACAATAAAAATAAATAAGTGGTGGCCAAGAGCCAATATTTGAACAGATATTATATGTAAACATGGAGCAATGAAGTAGTGCAACTACTAGAAAATGGGCCTTTTCAACAAAGTATATTGCAACACCGTATAAATTGTTGCAATAGATAAGTAATATTGCTATTTCATTGCAATTAGTTAATATTGCTACAAATTTATAGCATGGCCATATCTTCAACTTTTGTTGCAAGAGTTGGTAGGTATTCCAATAGAAAAATATAATGTTGCATTAAGTTAACATTTTTACAATTTAAAATTTGTTTTTGACACTAGCGAATAGTGGTTGAAATATATAGATATTGTTTGTTAGGACTAATCTTGTCATATAGGCATATTAGTGTTGATTATGAAGTGTAGTATGGATGAGGGAGCTCCGTGAAGTTTCTAGTACCAGCTAGTTGCTAGTTGAGCTATACAATTTGAAGTTTACCACTGGTTTCTTAGCTAGCAAGCAGGGTAATGTGGGCTGCATAGTTAAGGTCGGTTCCTGTAGCAGAACTGTAGCAAACCGACCTACAGTCCTATAAAAGGGGCAGCACCCTTATGGCTGTGTAATAGATGTTGAAACTATGTGAGTTTGGGAGAGGAGTGATAGAGCTTGGTTGTGAAGATCAAGCTTGTGTTTATGTGTATAGTAGTACTTGGTTGTGAGAACCAAGTGAGTTGTAACCTTGTAGTGTGAAGCTACAAAGTATTTAGATTTTGTGTTCTCATATTCTTGTGTGAATTAAGATAGAGTGCAAGTGAGGAATTGAGTGATTCAGTTCCAGCAGCATCAAATGAGAAATAGAGTGATTGTATTTCTAACATTGTTTCCATCATTTTTATGTATTGCCATGTTTTCTATATATTCTCGTTGTGAATAGAGAGGTTAAGACAAAATTTTAGCAAAACATGAAACATAAATATGTATCTTTGGTGTGGTGGTAAAATTGTGTGCCTAACCAATAGATGTAAGTTTTTAGTCCTACTCAATTCCAAATGATTTTTTGCCACAAAAACTTATTGTTACTATGATAGGCATTGGTTCGTTGGTGGTTGACCACGTAGATTGTAGTAGAAGGTTGTAGGAGGGCGGGCGACAGGCTGCTTGCGGCGGCCTATGGTGGTCGGCGTGGCGTAGAGCAGCGGCGTGGCTAGGGCAGCGGCGGCTAGGCAGGGAGCGAGAGATAGTGTGGGAGAGGTATACCTCTTTGTATTGCTTAATCCCAAAAGGGGGTACATAGGCCTATATTTATAGTCCTGATTGGACTTGCATACCAAGCAAACTAGTAGGAAGAGTCCTTATAGATTGGACACCTCTTTACATATCCTTTTCCTAAATTTTCTCAAACATTACCTAACCAAACCTAATCAAATATTGATTGCCTATTCCCTGTTTTTTTTCTTTCCCATTCTACTAGATTAGGGACTCCTTCGCAGACCCGACTTGGGTGTCGGCAAGGGAGGGGCACCGCCGTCCTAGGTGCGGCTGCCCCTGTGCCTAGCTCCCTCCGAAGCTGGGCCTCTAGGGCCAGGCCGGCCATGAGCCTCCTACGGGCCAACTTGGCCCTATTAGGGCGGATTGCAGATTGGCCTGTGATATCTCTCTCCCTATTTTCAGTCAGTGCGTCCTCACACTTCCATGTGTAGGTTCCTTATGGAGGTAGCCGTGAGATGGTTGAGTCTCCCTGACAGAGACTATCATGTGTCCCACCACCAGAGGACGAAGATGATTCTGCCATGACCTATCGAACTGAATGTGGATGTAGTGGTCGGAGCTTGGTGCGGTGTAGTTTTGGCGGATGGTCGGGGTACTAGTAGCATCGATCATCTCTCGTGAGATGTTGTCAAGCCGAATAACTCGTCGCTCCTGAGGCACATGATCATAGTTTTGGAGTTGATGTCCTTCACAGTGGAGGACGAAGCTAGGGAAGCGGAACCAAATCATCAGGTCGGAACGGGTTGGAGACATGGTGAGGTCCAACATGGTGCCCACGATGAAGTCACCGAAGTTGTAGTAGTCCGTTGAGATGTTGGGGCGTCAACGGAGCTGTGGAGGTCGATGTAGACGACGTTGATGGAGGAACTAACTGCCCATGCTATCGAAGAAAAACACCTTCACTTGTGGAAGGATGCCCTGCGGCCACTCATGGGTGAGCAAGATTCTTGTCAGCATGCTAACCTGATCTAATGCCGGAGGGGGTACATCGTGGACACCGACGGTGAGATGTCGAAGCTTGGGCCCACTGCCAGGAACGTCTCCATCTGATTGGGGAGCGGCGGAGAGGCAGCTCGCAGGTAAAAACACGCCGGTCGAAGAAGAGGTTGTCGTCCTCCATGGACCAAGCCGGGGCGGCCGTCCAATTGTTGCAAGCGTTGGCGATGAGGCGGAGCTTCGAAGTCGTGCGGATGACCTCCCGTATGTACTCGAAGATCATCTTGGCGGTCGACGACGATGAAGGCGCTGTTACGGTAACGTCTAATCATCGGCGCCAGTGGTGGTGGTAGCATCTTGTCAGGGCTGGCAGAGCCATCACGGTCTGTGGGCTATTGCTGTCGATGATCTCGGTGAAGGAGATGGTGCGGTCGCCGCGGGTGAAGCTCCTCCGTGGGTGTTGAAGTCCTACATGATACATCCAAGTCCCGCCAACCATGGTGTGCCGAGGATGATGTCCTCGTCGCCTATCAGGGTAGGAGGAAGGCGTTAAGCTGGAACGCCTCCGTGTCCACCCGAAGGGGAACATTGAGACAGACGCTACGGTAGCTAATGCGCTCGTCGTTCCAGAGGAGGATGCTGGTTTGGATCATGTGTTAGGTGATGCTAGTCATCCTGGCGAAGTTGATGTCAAGGACGTTGTGTGGTGCCGATATTGATGAGGATGCGAACTCCATGGCCTGAGACAGTGCTCGCGAGATGCATGGTGCGGCTCCCCGCTATGCCTGGTGCGTGGCCACCGGTGATCATCATGAGTTTGGGCTCCTCTATGTTGTAGTTGTTTACCACGGCGATGTCGAAAAGGTGCTTGCACTTGTGGCCGTGGGTGAACGCTTGTCGCAATTGAAGCAGAGTCCTGCGCGACGGCGGTTGGCCATCTCCTTCAGAGTGAGTCGCTTGAAGGTATGGGAAGGCGGAGCTGTGGCTGGTGTTTAGGTGGTCACCGTGCTGCTGAAGTCGGGGCCAAGGGCAGGGTGACCGCTAGTTTTGGAGCTTGTGGCGGGCGTGTCGGTGAACGAGCGGATGGCAGCGTCGGCTTGGAGGAGTCGGCAATGATCCCGGCGCGGTGCTCATACTCCTTGTCTAGATCCATGGCTCTCTCCATTGTTTGAGGGTTCTACAGCACTACGTCGGATTTGAGGGCTCCAGCAAACCTGCGGTGAAGATGTTTACCTTCAGGAGCTCGTCCAGTCTACCGATGCGTACCACATGAGCTGAAAAGCGCTCGCAGTACTCATCCACCATGTTGTTACTCCTAAGGAGGGTGAGATCGCCGAGTGAGTTGCATCGTGTCAGGGTCATGTAGTGCTTCTTGATGGCTTGGACGAACGAGTACCAGTCCAAGACTAGCTGGTCATGTTGCAGGCTCATGAACCACTGTTACGCCCCTCATGTCAGATAAAAAGATGCATATCACACCTTTTCGTGCTCCGAGATCCCTTGACCTCTGAAGAACTGATCACAGCGATTGAGCCGAGCCAAGGGATCCTCCTTGCCCTCATAGGTGGGGAAGGAGAGTTTGTGGTAGCGTGGCTGGAACGAGGTGAAATCCTTCTTGACGTCCAGATTGGGCCGCTCCTGCTTGGGGGCTTGTTCCCAACCTCCCTTGAATGCGTTATCGGTGAACAGATTGGTGGGTGACCTTGTCCACAAGGTCCGGGATGTTGACGGTGGCGGACATCTCCTTGTTGTCCTGTAGGAACTAGCCCCCTGGCGTCCTCCATGAATTTCTGAGCCTCTTCCTCGAGGTCCTTGGTGGCCTTGCGCCGCTCCTCATGTTTCAGGCGCCGCCCCTGTGGGCGGCCGATTGGCCTTGAGGCCATCGAGGCGAGTGGATGGCCTAGAGCTCCTTGGGTAGGCTGTCGTTGATCTCTTTCAGCACCTCCTTGAGGTTGTCCATGGTGACGGGTTCTGACATGGTGGATTCTACCAGATATGATGGGCGTTGGTTCGTGGGTGGTTGACTGCGTAGATTGTAGCCGAAGTATGTAGGAGGGCGGGGGATAGGCTGTTTGCGGCGGCCTATGGTCGCCCGTGAGGCTTAGAGCGGCGACGCAGCTAGGGCAACGGCGGTGTAGCTAGGGTAGGGCGGTGGCTAGGCAGGTAGCGAGAGAGCGGGAGATGTAAACCTCTTATGCTTAATCCCAAAAGAGAGTACATAGGCCTATATTTATAGTTCCGATTGGACTTGCCAAGCAAACTAAGAAGAAGAGTTTTTATATATTAGACACCTCTTTACGTATCCTTTTCCTATTTTATCTCAAACTTTTCCTACAACAACAACAACAACAACAAAGCCTTTTAGTCCCAAGTAAGTTGGGGTAGGCTAGATTTGAAACCCAACATGAGCTCTAAGTCATGGTTCAGGCACGTCAATAGCTGTTTTCCAAGCACTCCTATCCAAACAAAGATTTTTAGGTATATCCCAACTCTTTAAATCTCTTTTAATTGCCTCCTCCCATGTCAACTTCGGTCTTCCTCTACCTCTTCTCACATTGATACCTCGACTTAGAACTCCACAACGTACTGGTGCTTGTGAAGGTCTCCTTTGGACATAGCCAAACCACCTCAACCGATGTTGGACAAGCTTTTCTTCAATTGGTGCTACCCCTAGACGGTCACGTATATCATCGTTCCGAACTCGATCCATCCTTGTGTGACCACAAATCCAACGCAACATACGCATTTCCGCGACACTCAGTTGTTGGACATGTCGTCTTTTTGTAGGTCAACATTCAGCGCCATACAACATAGCGGGTCTAATCGCCGTTCTATAAAACTTGCCTTTCCCGTTCCACTAGATTAGGGACTGCTCAACGGACCGGACGGGCGTCGGTCAGGGAGGGGCGCCGTCGTCCCCAGCTCTGCCGCCCCCGCGCCTGAGCTCCCTATAAGCTGGGCCTCTAGGGCCAGCCTGGCCATGAGCCTCCTACGGGCCTTCTCAGTGCTAGCAAATAATGCAGATAAATAAGGATTGAGAGCCACAATGTTTTTTATGAGGTTCGGCGATGTGCCTACATCCTCGGGGCATGATTACGGGTGCTCCTCCCTATTAAGGTCAACCAAAATAGCCGCTTAGTCATCTTATGGTTACAGCAGGGTTGGCCTTGTATTTATAGCCCCCTAGGATAGCCTTTCCACGATCAATTACCAATATGGCACTAAGGGGGTGTTTGGGGCTGCTTCGCTCCTGGTTTTGCAGCTTCGCTCTAGTTTTGCATTGCCAAACAGCTCTAACTCTAAGAACTCTGCTTCAAGATAAAAGGTGGAGTTGGGGGCCAACTCCAGGTTTTTTATGGAGCACCTCAAGGGGTACTCCGGTTTTTGGAGTTTTGTATTCCCACATGGAGTTGGGGGATAATTACGCACCTTGCCACTCATTAATTACCTATACCGGCTCGTTTCTCCCTTTGTTTGCTTTGACCGATCGAAGCGGCGCCCCGACTCCCTCTGTTCGTTTCTCTGTGACGCTTCCTTCTCCGCCTTTGCTCCTCATCCGTACCGCTGCCGGCTTTCTGCGACCACAAGGCAAGGCTGCCGGCGCCGTGATGGATGGATCGGATGCCCCAGACGGCCATATTCCAGATGACATCGTGTTTGGGACGCGCATCTTCCCCAACTCCAGGCGTCCTACCTTGACACCGACGCCCAGAGTGGGCCTCTTTCGTCCCCCTCACGCTGTGCCGCCGCCGGCCTCCTACATCGGATTTCATTTGGCAAAAAATGTATTCACTTACATATGCTCCGCATACATCAAAACATACAACAAACATCAATCAGGGGCATAATAGACCATTTGCAGGGAAACAACCCATTCCTCTGAGTGGAGCTGCTCCATGGTGGAGTTGGTGGAGTGGAGCAGTCCCAAACACGCCCTAAACATATCCTAGCCCTCTAAAATAAAGTGGTAATGTAACCAAACAGTACACATTCGACACATATCTAACACTCTGGCCCTATTATGGCGGATGTATATACATCTGTAATATGACTTTCTACTTAAGTAGGAATTTATTAGCTGTCCAACGAGTTGTTGGTCTGAAAATTTTGTGGACTGTACTTTCGATGCAGAGTTCTGACCTGTATCATGAGCAAGTGGAAATTTTCAGCATGCACGATCTGGTACATGATTTGGCAATTTCACTCCTTGGTAATCAAGTTCTGGATCAGAGCAAACAAGGAAACTCTAGGGGAAGCAGCTGCCAATATGCATTGCTCGCAGATTGCAGCAAGCCACTCGAGTTATGCTTGACTTCTCGTGCAAGGCTAATAGCAATGCGTTTTCTTGAGTGTCGCAGCACCGAACTACGTGGTGCTGCATTTGCACCTGCTAGGTCCCTGCGGGTACTGGATTTAAGTGAGTGCTCCATACTCAAGTTGCCACAATCCATTGGTCAATTGAGGCAGTTGAGATATCTTAACGCTCCTGGGGTCCAGGATAGGATGCTTCCAGAAAGTATCACAGAGCTCTCTCATCTAATTTACCTCAATATTCAAGGATCTTCTACCATCTCAGCACTACCAGAGTCAATTGGAGAAATGGCAAGTCTGATTCATCTTGATTTATCACGCTGCAATGGAATCTATCAATTACCAGTCTCTTTCAGGAATCTGGAAAATCTGGTTCATCTTAATTTGTCAGGTTGCTATAATATGTCAGGTGTGACTGCATCATTGGGAAGCCTGAGCCGACTGGAGCATTTGAGCTTATATTGCTGCATGATTGATGGAGACCTGGCAAAAGCATTGGGTGGCCTCACAGAACTGCAATCTTTGAATTTATCACGTGTTGTGTGTTCAGGAAACCACTGCAAAGGGTTAGGACAAGTCCTGGTTAATCTCAGCAAACTCAGATATTTGAATATACAAGATTTCCTTCATAAAGCTGGAGGTGACAGCTTCCTTGAGTTCATCATTAGGCTTTCCAATCTAGAGCATCTTGATTTAAGTTCGAATAATTTGCGTAGTATACCAGAAACCATTGAGAACCTCAGCAGCCTACAGACACTAGATCTCTCACACTGCATCAACCTGGAGAGGTTGCCAGCTAGCATATCAGGAATTGATAGTCTGAAGTTTTTAAATGTAGCGAGTTGCTACATGTTGGATGAGTCCACTCTACCTCAGTACTACAAGAATAGTGCAATGTTGTTACCAAGATTTGTGGTCCATTCTGGTTATGGTGAATCTAGCAGTAATCTTTTTCAGCTTGAATTTGAAAATCCTACTGTTTTGGAGATCAACAGGCTTGAAAATGTGAAGTCTGCAGAAGAGGCACAGAGAATAAAGCTGGTGGACAAGCAGAATATTCAGGACCTAAAGTTACTGTGGACTAGAGATGCGGAGAGATTTGTGGATGACACAGAACTTTTGAAACGACTAGTGCCACCACCAAGTGTAGAAAATTTCAGGCTGGAAGGTTATACTAGCATAAGCTTTCCATCCTGGATGATGGACATCGTCATTTATTTGCCTCATCTTGTAGAAATTAGCCTGTACGACTTGCCCAGTTGCAATAACCTACCACCACTTGGTCAGTTACCAAACCTCAAGAGTCTGTGTATCGGAGGAATGGACAGCATAAGGAAGATTGACCAGGACTTGTACGGGGGCATAAGAGCATTTCCTCAGCTTGAGAGCATTCAACTGGCGGAGATGAAATGCTTGGAGGACTGGAACACATCCTACCCCAGTCCCAGTGGTGAGGATGGCTCGAATGAGCTCGTGTTCCCCACCCTCAATTATATAGAAATAGCAAACTGCCCCAAAGTAAGATACAAACGGTTCTCACCTCTAACTAAGAGGATGGTCATAAATGGTAGCGACCAAGTAATATTGTCATCATGGGAGTTCAGAGGTCATGTCGGTGCTTCCTCCTTAGCTGCAACCACCGAGCTTTACGTGGAACATTGTGCAGCGCCTCTGCATCAGTGGCGCTTACTTCTCCACCTCCCGTACCTCAACTTTTTAGAGATCACCCAATGCAGTGATCTTACATGCAGCTCAACAGATTTGCTTCCATGTCTCGCTTCCCTCAAGACTATATCTTTTAAAGATTGCAAATTCGTTGAGGCGCTGCCGGACTGGTTGGGTGACCTCACCTCTCTCAAGGCACTTGCGATAACTGATTGTGAAGGCTTCAAGGCTTTGCCAGAGAGCATACAACAACTCACCTGCCTCCAGCGCCTAAAAATTGACGGCTGCCCTGAGCTAGTTCAGCTTCCATGTCTCCCCTCAGTCGAGTCTCTCCTTGTCAGACAATGCAAAACAATTGCTGAACTGCCAGAGAGGCTTGGAGACCACACCTCTCTCAAGGAACTCATTTTAGTGAATTGCGAAGGCATCAAAACTCTACCAGAAAGCATACAACAAGTCACATGCTTCCAACGCCTAACAATTAATGCCTGTCCAGAACTAGTTCAGTGGTTCAAATCAGAGGAGAATAAGATGAAGCTCCCTCAAATAAAAGAAATCGTACGTGCTCTCTCAATCCATCGATAATTATGTTTTTTATTTGCATTCACTACTTTTATTATCTTATGAAGAGTATGGGTCTATTATCCATTACATATCTTAGGTGTTTTCTCTCTCGCAATAATGTATATAAATCTTGAGATACATATGGGAATAGCTACACCCAGGGGTAAAAATGATTTTCCATATATATATATATATATAGAGAGAGAGAGAGAGAGAGAGAAGGTTGTCCCACTTTATATACTATACTAAGAAAAAGACCTTTTTAGGACTGTCTTATGAAGGTCAACTTATCAATCAATTTTAATACAACAGTAAAAAAGATATGAAACTTAAAAATTGAATGATGAAATATTATAATAACACCAAAATGACCGAGTTGCGTATCATCTTATTTTTCTTTCTTTGACTGGCTTTTCAGACATTAGATTATGTGCGGTTAAGCACATGATCATCATTGAGGAGTCAGATAGGGAAGTGGTGACAAAATTGGAGGTATGGTGCAAAACCGTTTCCAAAAGTTAATCAACTGTACTCATTTTACGACTTCTCTACACGTTACTGGTTTTCAATACTCCTATATAGTATTTCCCTGCTCGACTAATTATTTTTCTATAGCACATCATGTGCTCTAAGAGAGAAAGTATTAGTATTAAAGAAAATCAATGTGGAATCACCAATTAGAAGTTGGGAGTAGAAACATTAATGGACAAACATTGTGAAATTTTATTCTTCTATGATTATAAACAAATATAAAATTGGAGCGAATTGCATTAATCATGAAAATTTTACAATATTCTACTATAAAGATATATTTTATTTGTGCCCCCGCCATCTGTTGGTAAAATAAACTAGAGACTAGAGCATGGCTTATTTTTTAAAGACCACTGATACCTTAAGTATATTTGAGCACCGAGATATACTCACGACATTTTACAATGCATGTGTCATGGTTGGTAGGACCTATCAGATAAGGGACCGTAAAGATAAAGTGGCATGTTAGAGTATTTAGACTAATGGGCCAAAAGGCCATAGGATTGTGGGTCCATTAGAAAGGCCCAAAGCCCATTAGGGTTTGTAAACACCCTCATATATATGAGGGGACTCGATTAATGAAATGGTAAGAAAGGTTTAGGGTTAATCCCTTTTGCTCTACAGCCTCCTAGCCGCCGCCACCCCTCTCCCTGCGCGCGCTGCCGCTGGCCACTGTCGCCGCCATCGCCTGCTGCGCCGCTAGCTGTTGCCCTAGGGCAGCTGCTCTCTCCTCCCCACTCTCCGGTCAATCTAGGGCTTCCCTAGTAGACCCGTGACATACGGTTTCCTGAGCCGCGGCAATGGATTTCGGGATGGCATTCATCAAAGCGTTTATACACGAATATAGGCTTGTTCGAGAGAATTCCCCAAGATCTAGAGCAGCCTCAACCAATGGCAAAGGCACCAGAGACACTCATCTGCGTTTCGCCACAGAAAAGAGGGACGCCATCCTCGACTCCGCAGAAGGACGCCACTGCAACCCCAGCACAGAAAAGGAGGCGTAGAAATCAGATTCTCCCGTTTAGAAAGAGAAACAGATAGAAAACCAGGTAGCCAATAAATTGCTATATCCTGAATATGATGGTAGCAAGGAGCCGTTCTAGTGGCTCTACAAATGCTGAAATTTTTTGACACAACAGATCAAGGAGGTGGAAAGAACCGAGCTGGCCGCCTTCCATCTACAGGGACAGCATTCACATGGTTCATCCGCTTCGAAAGGGACTCAAGCACTCCATCTTAGCAAACGTTCTCGGCAACTATCAGGAAACGTTTCGGCCCAACGCCGGCACAGAACCTACTCGAAGACCTCTCAGCAACCAAACAAACAGGTGGGATTGATGAATATACAGATCAGTTTCTCTGCAATCTCAACAAGGTGGATAGCCTCGACCCCGACCAATAGGTAATGTTATACACTGCAGGGCTGTCACCGCAGGTTGGCATTGACACCGAACTCAAACACCCAGAGGACCTGGAATCAGCAATATCTCTAGCTAGAGCACATGACCGCATTGCCAACAACTCAGTGTACCTAGAGGAATAGACACCCCAGGAAGAGGGAATACAAGTCTCCCTACACGCAGTCACCGGCATTATGACAAGTCCGACAATGCAGGTTGTGCTTTCAACGGCAGATGTTCCTAGCACTATTGGACTCCAGATCAACACATAACTTCATCAACAAGGACACAACATCAGCCCTACAGCTCAATCGAACAGGCACTAGATCATATAACAGTCGCAGTGGCAAACGACGACAGGATCGGCAATGTCGGAATCTACAGGAACATCAATATCCAGATCGACACAGAGCTCATTAATATTGACTGCTACAGCATACCCTTGAGAGGCTACGACTTTGTCCTAGGAGTCAACTGGTTAAGCTTCCTCGGACCAATCATATGGGACTTTCAAAACTTGATAATGAAATTCTGGCGTCAAGGAAAATGAGTCCTATGGCGGAGCCTTAGTGCACCTGCCTCTCCCCAGGCAAGCTTACATACATTTAATCAGGAGCCTTCCTTGAAGAAACTCCTTGACAATTTTGCCAGTCTATTTCAACCGCCAACCGGGTTACCACCGACTCGACGCTATGACCATAGAATCCATATGAAAGATCCAACACTTCCAATGGCAGTCAGACAATACAAAGTATCCGCAAATCCAGAACGATGAGTTGGAATCTCAATGCCAGCATATGCTAGAACAAGGACTCATCCGGTACAGCACATCAGCCTTCTGATCTCTGGTCTTGTTAGTCAAAAAACAAGATGGCTCCTGGTGATTCTGCATCGATTACAGGGCTCTCAATGACAATACTGTCAAGGATAAATTCTCAATACTAGTCATCGACGAATTACTTGACGAATTGAGAGGGGCAACTTCTTCACTAAATTCAACCTTCATTCAAGTCGAAAAAACTGCTTTTCGTACCCATCATGGACACTTCAAATTTGTGGTTATGCCTTTTGGACTTTGCAACGTCCCCTCCACCTTCCAAGCACTCATGAATGATATTTTGGGATCTTATCTTCGGAAGTTCGTATTTGTTTTCTTTGATGACATCTTGATATATAGCAAAACTTGGTTAGAGCATCTCCAACATATTCAGCAGGTTTTCACAACGTTACAGCTCCACCAGTTATCACTAAAGAAATCTAAGTGCCTGTAACACTCAGTGTTAAGCAAGGAATTAGCAAAGGAATTAAAACCTTAATCATGTCATAAGCATTATTATCATTCCCTTCCTTGCATGTGCTTGATTGATATTGCCTGAATGTGTAGCATAAGTTTAAGCCTTGTTGTATGTATGTATATATATACTTAAATTTAAGGGAGAATTATCTATTTGGCACTGAAACAAATCAGTCTTTCTTATTTGGCACGAAAAAAATTGAACTTTCTTATCTGACATCAAGTTCAAATTTCCTTCCCTAAATGGCACTACCGTTCATTTTATCCATTCATCTGTTAGTTGACTGTTTGGACTTTCCAATATGACCAAAATAACCCTCTTGTACTCGCACAGGCAAAATTTCTCTCCCCGACTCCAACTGCCCCGAGCGTTCCTGTCTCCCGCGGCGTTCTTCTCCGTAAAAAAACCAAACCCTAGATCGATGGAAGGAGAAGAGGATGATGGAGTAGAGGATCCCGCGGCCGGTGGCACCCAGCACCAGCTGCGCACGTCCTCAGGCGGGGGGCCTCACCCGGTGGAGCCAAGCCACGGCGGGGCGGGCTCGCGGGCCAGCGCTCTGGCCAGCTCGCGGCTTGGTGGCCTCGCCAGTCGGCGGCCGCAGATCCTGGCGCACAGGTCGCCGGGCAGCGTCCCTAGACCGTGGTTCGTCGCGCAGAGGCCAGGCACGAGCAGTAGAAGCTGGAAAGGTAACAAGGTTGGCTATGCGTAACTATGAATTCCTGAACACTTGCTCTGACCCTTTTTTGCTTGACCATCTGCCATCCCTCTAATAAGTTGAGTTTTCTATTTGCAGTTGAACTGCTCAAGTTTTGCATTAATGTACTTGTATGCAGTGTGCCAATTCCTTTATCACAACCAACCGTCATGCTTTACTAAGTCTATGTTATTCTATTATTTCTTGGTTACTTGATAGATAACGCCATTTAAACATGGGATCTCTTTAAACATTGCAGTGGACGTGTGAAAGCAGAAGATTTTTGGGCTCATTTTGGTCTGGATTGCAGTCCTCTGTGCAAGAAGGTACTGACGCAGTATCTACAAATGCTATTAGCTTAAATGGATTTCCCTCTTTGCTGAACTTCTAACTCCTTTTCCAGATATTTCACTACTTCGATTTAAGCATTAAGGAATCGATTACGTTCCCTCGGGTATGGACCTTAATTCGATTGAATTTCACATCTCCCTTGGTACTTCACAATTTTTACAGACAACACCAAGGATACTATAATGCATTGGTACTCTGTATATTTCACTAGCACTAAGGTTTCTAGGTGAAGCATCTGAGATCTCCAGGGCACAGCTAGCTGATGTCCTACGGTTAAGCATGCTGCTGCCGTCTGATGATAAGGTAAAATCCCCATTGCCCCTCTGCTACAGGTTTCGCCACCATGATGTCATACTCATCTGAACATGTAACCTTTTGACAAATGCTGGAGCTGTTCAAGACGTTCGACATAGATGGCGACGAAAAGATCAGAAAGGAAGACTTCATGACGTGTCTTAGGAGGTTACCGTTCCTGATTGCGTTCTTTGCAGCCCCGATCAATGGGGAAGTGTACATCGAGATAGTCTGAATGCCTGAGGGCTGAGGCAAGGCGATGCCATGCAAGAGTAAAGCCTGGAGCTGCCAGTGCGAGGCGCGCCAAGTATTGGGTTGCATCAAGTGGCTGACCGTATAGTGCTTTGTTCAAATTATTATATTGTCATTACGGAAATCTGTTGTGAGATACACATTGGACTAGTAGATTGTCGATGGAACTGAGAATACAGATAGAAAAGCATTTGCAATCTGAACTGTAACCTTAAGTTATGTTGATTCTTGTTGGCTGTAGCTAATGTGAGGTGTGAAAGGTGTGGTTCCTCTTTTTTTTTTTTATTTTTTTTTTTTTATTTTTAAGTATGCTGATAATGTGTATGAAACTAATGTGCATCAGCTCTTACCTTAGAATTTGAATTTATTGATTATTTATTTCCAGTCTTGATTATTAAAATCCCATGTTTTAGTTCACAAGTATATTTGTAATATTTATAATTTCCTTATTTGATAACCAGTCCATTTATTCTTTCCCTATTTGGCACTGCATGCTTCTGCCACAAATAAGGGCATTCACGTCATTTTGTCAGCCACTTGACATCGTTAGTGGCCCAAATGGACGGTAGTGCCATCTAGGGAAGGAAATTTCAATTTAGTGCCAGATAAGAAAGTTTAATTTTGTAGTGCTAAATATGGAAGACTGATTTGTTTAAGTACCAAATAGATAATTCTCTCTAAGTTTAAACCCTGAAGCTATGAGTGTAAGTACCCTAGTTTGAATCTTAATTGAATGACAAACTACTTTCTATAAGGTGTCACACTTGTTTGTGCATGCCTATGTATATATGAGTATATTTATGTGGGATACAATTACTTTGTGCATGGTATGAACTTGAGTGTATATCCTAGGACCATAGTTGCTCATGTCTTAGTTTTAACCTTGAGTAATAGACAATCCACATCTCTTTTGGTGCCTCACATGTGTATGGTATATATATGCATTTACATATGAGTGGCTTTGCTTCTACTTGTACATGACATGAACTAGAATTGCTATGCTTGAGTTTGGATTGCCAAACAACCTATATTGAGATGCTCTCTATGACTTGTACATGTATATGGGTGTCTATGTCTCTCATAGGTTCATATAAACCTTTATTAGATTCACATGTTGAGTGACCTTGTTTGGTATGTTGGCATGTAATTAAGTTCCTGATTTGGTCATGGATGTAATCATGTTAATTAAACTCTAAATTGATAGCCAAACAACTTTTATATATGTGCCTCACCTGAATTTTATACATATATACCTCATATATAGCTCTTATGCTCTTATAAGCATATTATAAAGTCCATAGTTGAGGGCTGATTTTGTTTTTAATTAAATTGTTTAAACACTTTAATGTGCCACTTCACCAAGTTGAAGTTTGACTTAGAACTCTAATTTGAGTATGGTCTCAAGCTATAGATTGGAGAGCAAGATATTGTTTGGAAGTCTCCAGGATTAAATCTGAAATCTGTTTTCCAGCACTTATCTCTAGGGAAGTGTAGTGGAGAGTTATAAACATAATCTCATTGTTTTGCTTACCCATAACAGAGCCAAATATATTGTTGTCTATACAGTTCATGCTCTGGACAACTGCTGGCAAAGCCATTTTGACACCATGTGTTCTTTTGTTTCCCCTAAGCAATAAGAGTGACACTTTGTACTTTGATAGAGTGTATATGACCAAGAACATTTAGGGCTAGATGTGCAGCAAATTCCCCAGTCATAGTTTGTACAGAACCTGGCCCTAGGTTAGCCAAAAACTAATACGTGTGCCCAGCCCGTGCACTGCCAGAACAGCTTGACAGAGCCAACTTCACGGTCTTTTATCTTCTCGATTCACAAGTTTTAGACTAGGGTCATGTAACAAAGTTTGAAGCATTTCATATGTACAGAAACTCTGTTCTTGGCAGTCAGTCAGGTGTTTAGTAAAATAACAAGTTTGGCGCATGTTTTGAAGCTCGGGTTGACATTCAGCTGTGGCTGTGTTCACTGTGTGTGAGCGTGAACGCGAGGTAGATACCGCCTTAAGCCGCAGCCAATCACCGTGGTCCGCTGCACCGCCTCTCTCTCCCTCTGTGGCTTACTTGCTCGCGACGCTTGGCTAACCGACCTCATCCCTTTGCCCTGACAACACCCGGTCCACAGTAAGTCCGGTGAACCTGAGCGTCTGCAGCATGCGGCTGTCTTGCGCTGCACGTTTGCCAGCTGCCGCACTCGTAATTGGATGCATGTCCAGGTGTCTAATTCGCGTGGAAAGCTTGACACGTGCCCTTCACACCTGAACCGACCTCCTTTGCTTTGCCCAGTCGCCAGAGCACACACACGTATACACAGAACAGTCTGTCTCCCTGCCGCCGAGCAAACTCTTCCTGTCCAAGCCATCCCAGCCGATTTCCTTGCGTCTCGAGCTCCATCAGGAAGTAATCTAGCTCCCCAAGCCGAGCCTTGATCCAGACATGTCCTTGGTTGGCCAGAATTTGGAAAATTTCCGTCGCTGGTCAACAGTCCCATGAAATCGAGTTCGAATTGGGGTGAGCTTCGATTCCTCGTCGTTTTCTTTTCCTTGAACCTCTGTGCTCTAATTGCTCACGCAAATATGATGCGCATGCAGAATTGGCCGGGGCTTCACCGGAAATGACGTGACGCGGACCATGTCCGCGGCGGAGCTCCAT